ATATATATATATAGAGAGAGAGAGAGAGAGAGAGAGAGAGAGAGAAATTTCAGCTCTTTTATTATAAACTTTCAAATATTTGAGATCAAAGAATCCATTATTGACCATGTGTAAAAATGGTCAGTATACTGTAACAAACAGATGTGTGCAATTTAAGAAAAACAGTTTACTATGTTTTATATCACAGTTTTTACAAAGTAATGGACATTTTACGTAACTATGGATACTATCAGATTTATATAAAAATGTATCAGATCAGATTGTGTTGAGTGTGAGCTCCATCAGCCTTAGAGCGCTAATGCTTGACGTTTGTACCTGCAGCTCCAGCCAGGACGGGGGCTGGGTCCGTGTGCGGTTGACAAACGTCCTGCGCAGCCTTTCCTCACAGTAAGGCGCGTAACCAGGAGGGCCGCTGACCAGAAACGTCCGTAAGTACTGTCAACAAGCACAAACAGATGAGCCAAAGGAACAGCGAAAAGACAAGTAAACATGGTCAGAGGAGAGCTGTACTCTACTGTAGCCTCTGTTAGAACACTACTGTTCAAAATATCTAAAGATAAGAAGTCAGATGTCACCAGAAATAAAGACAGATAACGACATGGTGAGCTGATCCTTTTTAAGAGATGTACTTAGAAAGTCTGACACTAATGAAAAAGGAGAAGGTTATTCAGATTAATTTTCTTAAAATATTATTCTCCAATACTCTATAATCACTCTGTTTACTGGCACAGAAAGACACACAACTGACATAGCTCTCTAAAGGAGTATGTTTTTAAAAAATCAATGGACAAGAAAAAATTAGGACTGCTACAAAATAGCATTTCCAAAAACTTTCAATGTGGTCTTGATCCCATGCACTAAGATGGATACATTTAAATGTTATTCCAGTCTGATTTTGAGTCTTTGAGTCTTTTGTGCTCGTCTTATATCCCTCATCATGCATGTTCCACCCTCCCCCTTCCCTGTGGAGCCCTGTAGCTGGCCTGTCCCCAGTAGGACACCCAGACAGGTGAGGAGCGAGGGCTTTCTGGACAGGATGCTTATTCCTACTTGACTTCATACAGAGTCTTTGCTCCATGTGGAGAGAGCAGGGCCAGTTCAAACTGAGTCCCGGCAGAGCCGAGCCACCTGCTGGGGGCAGTTCTGGTGAGGTGCCTGCCTCTCCCTTTTTCTCACAACAGATTCTTTTCAGGTTGCTATAACAATGGGGTCAAAATGAGCCCAGACCAGTTGGAGGTCTGAGAAGCTGGATCTGTCTTCAGAGTACCTCCTCCACAAAAAGCTTTGATTGAAACATCCATGATAGCTTCAGGACACTTTCAGAAATTGGTGTCATTTTTTAAATCATGTTTTCTATCATAAGTGTATATTTTTCAGTTTTGAGCTGATTTGAGGAAATCCCATGATGTCCATTTTTTTTTTACAAATGTTTAAGATGCAATATCTGATGGGCCAGCATGGTCTGGAAGCGTCTTTAGACACAGGTTTCTTACTTTGACAAACTTCTCAGAGGGGGCGAAGCAGCCCACGCAGAGGGACAGCAGGATCCATCCCCGGGCATGGCTGCTTTTGGACGGGTTCTGGCTCAGCTGTTTGCAGATCTGACAGTAGATCTCATCCCTACCACACAGGACAGCAGGATTTAAAGGTAATAACAAAAATGTTCACCAGGGCCAGTAGGACATTTTGGACACTCCATCATTGTATGATACATGTTAGTAAACTCTCTCTCTGCTATACAGTATATGCAATAAACCTGCACAGACAGCATCTTATTGATGAAATCTTTCACTCAAGCCATATTTTTACCTTCACCAGCAATATCGGTACTCAACGCTTAGGGATGACGATCAACAGAATCACATTGGAGTGATGGGTGTTCATGTAAAATCCCAATCCTGCCCCTGTGTTCTGCGTTTTGGGGAAATTCCTGATTGTTTGCATTCACATGATGCAAATACAGTATCCCACTGAACATAAATAAACCCTGACACCATTCAAATTGAATGAAATCATGAATTTAGAGCAGACTACTTTTGTCCAACAAAACCTGACAGTTTATACTGCCACCTGCCAGCTTTACAGCGGGTGACAGAACAGCTGACCTGAGGGCTGGCCGCAGGATGCCATTTCCAATGATGAAGTGAAGCTTCTCCAGGTTGGAGGTGGGCCGGTCCTCCAGCATGCTGTTCCCCTGCAGGCCGTAGTCACTCCCCTCGGTCAGCCGCCGCGTCACCTGCCAATGACACAGGGAACAATTCAGCCCTCTTCCATGTGTTCACGACATCTTGAAAACAGTTTAAAACTTTAACTTGATGCCCTCGATTAAGCTTGAGGACTTACAATGGAAGGAGAATGTGAAATGCCCCCTGGCGGTTTTACAAAGAAAGGGGACCAAACAAGGGAAAGGTTCAAATCAAAGCTAGGGACCCTGTTGCCAGCTGGTGAGGCTTTGGGCCTCAGCACAGACTGGTCAGCTCAGGGCTCACACAGACTGGTCAGCTCAGGGCTCACACAGACTGGTCAGCTCAGGGCTCACACAGACTGGTCAGCTCAGGGCTCACACAGACTGGTCAGCTCAGGGCTCACACAGACTGGTCAGCTCAGGGCTCACACAGACTGG